CGGCGGCGCCCGCGGGTGCAGCGGCGCTTGGGGATGTGGCGGCACCCACAGGTGCAGCGGCTCCTGCGGCTGCAGCAGCTCTCTGGGTGCAGCAGGTCTGTGCGTGCAGCCAATCCACGAGCTGCAGGAGCACCCATGGGTGCAGCGGCTCTCTGGGTGCAGCAACTGTGTGCGTGCAGCGGCACCAGGAGCTGCAGCAGCACCCATGGGTGTAACGGTGCTCTGGGTGCAGCGGCTGTCTGGGTGCAGCGTCTCCAGGAGCTGCAGCAGCACCCATGGGTGCAGCGACTCCCTGGGTGCAGCAGCTGTGTGGGTGCAGTGGTTCCAGGAGCTGCAACAGCACCCATGGGTGCAGCGGCTCTCTGAGTGCAGCAGCTCCCTGGGTGCAGCAGCTGTGTGGGTGCAGCGGCTCCAGGAGCTGCAGCAGCACCCATGGGTGCAGCGGCTCCCTGGGTGCAGAAGCTGTGTGGGTGCAGCGTCTCCAGGAGCTGCAGCAGCACCCATGGGTTCAGCGACTCCCTGGGTGCAGCAGCTGTGTGGGTGCAGTGGTTCCAGGAGCTGCAGCAGCACCCATGGGTGCAGCGGCTCTCTGGGTGCAGCAGCACCTATGAGTGCAGCAGTTCCCTGGGTGCAGCAGCTGTGTGGGTGCAGCGGCTCCAGGAGCTGCAGCAGCACCCATGGGTGCAGCGGCTCTCTGGGTGCAGCAGCACCCGGGACTGCAGCAGCTCTCTAGGTGCAGCAGCACCCATGGGTGCAGCAGCTCCAGGGGCTGTAGCGGGTCTCTGGGTGCAGCAGCACCTGTGGGTGCTGGCTCTCTTGGAGTGGTATTGGCACCCTTGGGTGCACCAGCTCTGCGGGGGGGCGCTTGCACCCGGGAGATGCACCCGCACCCTCTGGCACAGTGGCTTTTGCAGGGTGCAGCAGCACCCTTGGGGGCACTGGCTGCAGTTGCACCCAGGGGTGCACTGGCACCATGGGGTGCACCAGCCATGGGGATGCAGCAGGGGCTGCACTGGTGCCATTGGTCGCACTGGCTCCCAGGGTGCATGGGCACCCTTGGGTGCAGTGGTTTGTGTGTGGGGGGGGGTGCATGGGCACCCCAGGGTGCAGGAGCTTGCAGGCGGTGCATGGGCACCCATGGGTGCACCAGCTTCGGGCCGCTGAGGCTGCCCAGGCTCTGGGTGCTGTGTTGACACCCAGAGATGTGCAGGCTCTGGGATTGCTCCCCCTGCCAAGGCTGCACCAGCACCCATGGGTGCCCCAGTACCGCAGTTGTACTGGCATCCATGGGCGCGCAAGTAACATGAGCCCCAGTGCTGCACTGGCCTCAGCACCCATGGGTGCAGCTGTGGTGGTGCAGCAGCACCCATGGGCGCACCGATCCAGGACCCCCTAAGGCTGCACCAGCTGCAGATGCTGCACCAGCACCCATGGGTGCACCAGGACCTGCCAAGGCCTCACCAGCACCCATGGGTGCACCAGGACCTGCCAAGGCTGCGCTGGCACCCATGGGTGCCCTGGCACTGGAGGCTGCACCGGCTCCAGCACCCCCAGCTGCTCCCGGGAACTGGGGGGACCATCGGCTCGGCGATTCCGGGGCTCCCACCCCTGCACCCATGGGTGCCCCGTGGCGGCACCCAGCCCTGTACATAGCGGCCCCGCGGGCGCTCCGGCCCATTTTTAAGTTATTCCTGCCCCGGTCTGTACCTGAGCCCCCAATAAACATAGGAAACCTGTGGCGTGGCACCCATGGCACCCAAAGCACCCATGGCACCCATGGCACCCACCTCACCTCACCCTCGCTGCAGGGCCCAGGCGTCCGGGCCCCCCGCCCCAGCAGGGGTGGAGTCAAGGGCACATTGAGGACATCCCCGGGGCCCCATGGTTACGGGGTGAGGGTGGTGCCATCAACAGGGCACCCTTGGGTGACACCCCCCACCCACCCCACCGCCGCCGGGCGCCGTCCCCAGCACGCGCGTCCCCAAGGCGCTCGGAGGCCGGTGCCGTTTATTGAGGTGCCATCGTGGGGGCCAAGGGGGCCCTATTTCTGCGCCGGGATCATGTCGTCGATGGGCTGGTTCTGCTCCAGCTTCTTCTCCATCTCCACCATGAGCTTGACGCCGTCCACCACCATCTGCACCTGCTCCACCTCGGAGAAGCCCAAGCGGTCGGCGTTGGAGATGTCGAAGACGGCGCCCACGGCCGCCGTGTCCACGCCACCTGCGGGCACCGGTGGCCAGTGTCACCCGGGCGGCCGGCCCCTGGCCCCTGTCCAACCCCTGGTGGCACCAGGGTGGAGGTTGCCGGTGGCCACACGTGTCCCCCAGGTCCCCTGTGCTCTTCATGTCCCCTGTAGCCCCGTGTGCTCTCCAGGTCTTCTGTGGACCATGTGGCCACTGTGTCCCCCATGTCCCCTGTAGCTTCCTGTGTTCTCCAGGTCTTCTGTGGACCATGAGGTCTCTGTGTCCCCTGTGCTGTCTGTGACCTCCATGTTCCCCATGGCCCCTACAGGCTCCGTGCTCTCTGTGTCCTCCATGGACTGTGGCCTCCATGTGCCCCATGTCCCCTGTAGCCCCGTGTGTTCTCCAGGTCTTCTGTGGACCACATGATCTCCATGTCCCCCATGTCCCCTGTAGCCTCCTGTGTTCTCCAGGTCTTCTGTGGACCACGTGGCCTCCATGTCCCCCGTGTCCCCTGTAGCCTCCGTGTCCTCCACAGCCCATTTGTCCTTGGTGGCCCCCTATGTCCCCTGCTGCCCATGTCACCTACATCCTCCTTGGTGCCCCCAGCTCCCTCCTGGGCTCCCCAGCCCCCTCATGTCCCCGTGTCCCCACGCACCGGTGCCGCGTTTCTGCAGGCGCAGGCGGCCCAGCACCTCCTCGAACTTGGGGTGCTGGCTCAGCTTGGGCAGGCGCACGTGGACGCCGCCGCGCAGCCCCGTGCCCAGGTTGGAGGGGCACGTCAGGATGTAGCCCAGGTGCTCGGTCCACATGAAGGGGTGCCCAGCCTTGCTGAAGATCTCCTCGATCTGCGGTGGGGAGCAGGGGGGGGACACGAATGGGAGAGCGTCCATGGGAGCCCAGCACCAGGAACCGCCCCATGGTCCCACCAGGAGACCCCCATGGTCCCACCAGGAGACCCCACGGTCCCTCCAGGAACTGCCCCCCCTCCATGATTCCTCCAGGAATCCCCCCATGATCCAGCTGGGAAACCATCCTGTGGTCCCTCCAGGACCCTCCCCATGATCTTTCATGATCCTGCCAGGAACCCCTGTATGATCCTGCCAGGAACCCACTATGATCGCTCCAGGCTTTCCCCTGGACACAGCACCCCGTGACTGCCCCCTCCCATGGGACGCTCTGGACCTTCACCCATGCCGAGACCCCCCTCAATCCCCTCTGCCAAGAGCTGGCACCCCAAGGTCCCCACTGTCTCCACTGTCACATGTCACCGTGTTCCAGGGTCCTCCCATGTCCCCAAGACCCTCCCTGTGTTCCCCAAGTCACTCGCACCGCTCTGCGTCCCCCCAAACCCTCCCATGTCCCCACACCTCCCATTGTGGATCAGTCCCCATGGCCCTCAACGATGTCCCTGCCCTGCCCACATCCCCCTGGACCCACATGTCCCCACGGGCTCCCGGCCACGCTGTCCCCACCTTCTTGAGGCCGACGCAGAAGCGCCTGAACACCTCCTTCATGTTGCCGCCCTTCTCCATGGAGATGACGCGGAGATGGTCCTCCTCGTTCACCCACACCAGGAAGGTCTTGTTGTCATTGTGCCTGCGGGGACACGCTCAGCGCCGGCCCATGGACACAGGCGCTCGGCCACCCGCACCGGGATGATTGTCCTCCCCCACCGCAAGGTGGGACAAGGAAGAAAGTGTCCCACCAGGATGGCCATCAGTATCGGAGTGCCCCCATGGGTGTGGACCACCACCCCAGTGGGATCTAGGTGTCCCACCAGGGTGG